CCAGCACTGCAAACAGGAACAATTCCTGCTGCCATCTTCCTGAACTCAAAGCGTCCAGGGCACCACTGCTTGCTGCAACTGTCTGCTCTGCCATCTGCTGAAGGTTCTGGAGGCTGTTGGCATACACTTCTCGCACAGACATGAAAACCATCATGCTCCATGGAAAAATCTTCGTCCATCCAGCTTGCTGTAGCATCATCGCACCCTGACTCAGGTGCTCCGCTACCATGTTGAAAAACGTGGTAAACATCATGGCTCACTTTTCCTACCACGCTCTAAAGGCAAAACAACTTTTCTCGCTTTCGACTCTTGAGCCTAAGCCTCCGGTGTCAAACTCGTTCTGCTCAGACTCAACATGCCTTAGGGCATTTGGTGTCTTTCCTACTGCACCCATTCACTGTACCTGGATACATGCTGTACACTTAACACTGCAGGCTCCTCACGCTTCATCGGAAAAACACACGATTATTTGATGCAGCTGAGCGTGCTATTCTTGCACAAGGATCATGTTGCGGTTACATCATGATTGCGCATCATGAGCCCTTAGATCTGTGTGAGTGCAACACTCCATATTTTAGAAAGTAGTCTGTCGTGTAGTTTCGGCTTGAGCATCAGCGATCCATATCTCAGCGCGCTTTTCTTCACCTTTTGTTTGGCCAGAGCCTGTGCTTTTTCTTGACAGCAATGTATTTCGATCTCAGTTTGATGATTTAAACGCTTCCGTTAAGGAGGATGACTTCGTCGTCTCACTCGATGAGTTCATCGTCTCTTTCGCTGGGTTTTGACCCCATAGGCTGGCCTCCTGCTGTGGATAACACCTGGTACTTGCATGGTTTTAAACCACAACGGTTCTCTTTTGCGTCGCCCGGCAAGGCGAGGCCGAGATAAGCCCACATGCTGTGGCAACCGGCCAAGCCATTGTTCTGCTCTTTGCCCAGAAGTTTCTTGGCACTTATCTAAATGTAAAACCTTGCATCGCCGATGCTGTTTCTGCTATTTGGCAGCCTGGAAACTTATGAGTTGTAATTTGATGCGACCTGTCATTTACTTAGCATTTTCGCGACGATCCTTTATGAGGCCGTTCCTCAAGAAGATCGTTGCCTCCACGTCCTTGATCTACGACCCCATAGGTGAGTTGCCTGCAGTGCTCGGTTTCGGATATTTTGGGAGTATGTATGTCGCGGAAGGCCTTGCGGAGAAAAAGGCAATGTCAGTGGCTAGCGGCCGAGCCGTCTGTTTGCTGGCGCAGCGTGGAAGGCTTCCGAGCAGCAACTCGAAATAATCAGCGAGCTAAAATATAATCGTTCGCTGAATTCTGTACTTTGGCAGGCCCAATGTGCGAGCGCAGTTTCCTCCGAGGAGCTTCCAGAATGAAGGTATCTTGTTGCAGTGATGACTGCATGTGGACATTGCACTTGACGCGCTGTCAAAATGCCTTCGCAGCATAAACAGGTTGTGGCACCTCCTTGGAGTCTTTGTCAGCGTCCTCGTCCTTGCGTTCTTCAAACAGCCCGACTCAGTGGGCGACATTGACGCCTCTTTGTAACGTTTGCCCGGGACTCTTCTTCAAGAGGATGTCAAATAGTAAGGCTCTGCGTCTGACGCCGCACTTCGGAGGCAAAAGCAAGAAAGGGGTTGTCGTTTCTGACACTCGCGATGATCCTCCATATCGTTTGGGCAAGGGGCCAACGGCATTAGGGTATTACTCCAGGCGGGAGTGGCTTCTAGGAAACAAGACAAAGAATCGAAACCCGGGCGCTTCGAAGCATCCTTGGATGAGGACGGAAGACTCATGTGTTGAAAACTGAACTGCGTGCGGATTCTAAACAATGAGTACATAAGTGCACTTGCTGCAGGACAAAGGACCCAAAGCCCGTTGACACCAAGCCCGAAGAGCCTCTTTCGTCCGTGTACGACATGCCGTGCCACCGTACACCGGGCTGGTGCATCTGGACATCTTCTTACGGTTGTGATTTCATTCGCTGCGGCAGTTTTTTTTACAGCAAGCTTGAAATTAAGCATCGCCCAGGCAACATTTTGATCGAGAGCATGCAGACACGTATGCAACAGGCCGCATCTCGGCAGCATGTTAGCAGCTTGACAAAGCTTTTGCGCATGACACATAGACGATGAGGCTGGTATCTTCGACGAGACATGGTATGGCTTGCCCAACCACAGCACACCCTCGTGGTGCAGCTTGCTTAGAACTGAGAAGTGTTTTGCTCTTTTGTCAGGCGTAGGAAGACACAGTCTTGAAGCACAGGCAGCACCCTGGTGGACAACGTTGTTCGGCGAGAGGACAGGAGGAGGGCCTTGCTTTGTGAATCCTCACCGCTGGATGGTGAGACAAGTTGAGCCTTTATGAATTTGCAGTATAAATTATTGATATTATCATTTCATGCTGTCGGATGTCAATCATCTACAGCTGCAGTTTGCAAGAACCAACATCTAAGGGAAAAACGCGCATTTCGGTCTGAAGCAAGTCATTGGAAATGAGTACCGAGCCACGTGGAGTTTCTTGGCTGTCTTCACCCAGCGTATTAAGTTTTAACAATGCTGCTGACTCTGCAAGGCGACAAGTTCATGCAAGCCTTGGTGCCCAAGATTCGCTTGCGAAACATGTCGGAGAAATTCCGGCATCAGACCTTGCCGGAAGCGGCGCGCCACAGCAGTCTCTTGTCTCTTACAAAATGGAGGTAGTAGTGAATGTGAAGGTCTTCAGTGTGATCAGCATCTCAGGTGACGGTGTCAAGCGGAGATCTGCGCCAGCGTCAGGATCTTTAGCCGTGGATTTGCGGAAGCCTTCTGACAGGTTGAAGCAGCAGCTGCAGGCTCGAATCGACGGCAACAACGCGGCAATGAATGGGAAGCAGCTTCCGAACGCCCGTGCGCCGGGATACCGGAAAATCCCGAGCAAATTTACAGACTGCTGCCTGATCGACGCACTGCGTGCGCTGGGCAACAAGATTTCTTATGCTGGAGATGGGCCCTTTCAGATCAGGGATGGCATGAATTGGCTTCACCCTCTCGGGACAGTGTTGAGAAAGATAACTAACGGCGCTCGCGCCATCTGCAAAAGATTAATTTCCATTCAAAGTTTTCTTTAAAAAGGACAGTTCTGTCAACAATCGTGTGTGCAAACTGTAATTCTGGCAGGAAGACAATTGGGCCTTGCGACTTCTCCGATGTGACGCTCCAGCCCGGCGACTATCTCGTTCTTTTTCATGCGCACTTTGTGGCGGTTAGAAATCGAAAGGGTGACGGCTTGCAGGTGAACTTGGGCTGCCGAACACACCAGTGGAAACAGCTGTGTGCTAGGGAACACGATTGTTCTGGTCCGATGGTCCGCGACTTGGAAGGCTCGTATATTTTGGATCCAAGACGACTTGAAAGATGCTTCCAGATTATCTCCGATGATGCAAGTACGAGTTGCGCCGACGGGCCAGAATACATGGACAGTGTCGGTGGCAAGGCTGTGGAAGAATATGCTCAAGAATTCATTGAGGTCTGGGAGGCCATGCAATTTCAGCACCCGCCACAGGAAGATGAACTTGATTTCAACCAGGACGACTCCGACGCTTCCGACACATCGTCATTGTGCTCGGAGTTTTCGGATTATCCCCCCAGGAACGACGCTCTGATGCCTCGCCGAGAGCCTCTAGATTCCGATGAAGAATCTGGGTTCTGGGAGTTCTCAGAGGAGCTTCTGAGCGCCCAGGCAAACGCTGATTCAAACACAATTCTTGCTGCCCCCGTACCAGTTCGAGTTTTGGCTGCGCCGACGTGGTGCAGCTCGATTGCAATTATAGCGATAAGAAGAAGTAGACTGTGAAACCCTTTCAAATCACGATGACTGCTTGTTAGCTTTTATTGTCTATGTCCAGGCAACGATCTGATCGACCAGATCATTCTTCGAAACGATGGCACGCTGTTGGAAGGAGAAAAAGTAACTCCAGCCCTTGACCTGTAGGATGCCCCGGTGTGCTTGACGTCAGTTTATCCCATTCAGGACACCAAGACGACGAGTTCCATCTACCCGGATGTCCCGTTCCATCGTGGTGCGACGACCTCATCCACCAGATCATTCTCCGAAACGATGGCAAGCTGTTGGAAGGAGAAAAAGTAACTCCAGCCCTTGACCTGTAGGATGCTCCTGGTGTGCTTGACGTCAGTTTATCCCATTCAGGACACCAAGACGACGAGTTCCATCTACCCGGATGTCCCGTTCCATCGTGGTGCGACGACCTCATCCACCAGATCATTCTCCGAAACGATGGCAAGCTGTTGGAAGGAGAAAAAGTAACTCCAGCCCTTGACCTGTAGGATGCCCCTGGTGTGCTTGACGTCAGTTTATCCCATTCAGGACACCAAGACGACGAGTTCCATCTACCCGGATGTCCCGTTCCATCGTGGTGCGACGACCTCATCCACCAGATCATTCTCCGAAACGATGGCAAGCTGTTGGAAGGAGAAAAAGTAACTCCAGCCCTTGGTCTGTAGGATGCTCCTGGTGTGCTTGACGTCAGTTTTTCCCCTTGACCATGCAGGACACCAAGACGACGAGTTCGATCTACCCGGATGCCCCGTTCCATCGTGGTGCGACGACCTCATTCACCAGATCATTCTCCGAAACGATGGCACGCTGTCGGAAGGCAAAGGGTTACCTCAACCCTTGATCTTGAAGACGGTCGTCGTTTACTTGTCTTTAGTCGGATCTTGCTCAGTAAGTGCCATGTGGCGCGATACTCTTGCAAGGTGAGGTAGCCCTAGCGCCTTAACCTTCTTATTCTTATCGTGGTCATCGTGCGCGGGTGTGTGTTAAGTTCGTCTTGCTGATCGCCGCATGTCTTCGCTCTTGCGTCTCAGGCGATGGGCTCAGTGGCGAAGATGATTGGGACTTATCTTGGGGTGGCAGTGTGTTGGACGAGACACTCTACAATCTGCCGACTTTTTTTTTCTCCTTCGCGTACCTCAAGAATCTTGCATGCGCCTCCAAACGCATGCTGCATGCTGTTCGCGACCGACGGAGATGGCAGGACAAGGCAATCTGCCTGAACAGTGCGGAGTTCCGCGATAGTCAAACTTTGCGGTGGATGACGAACGCATACATGACCGCTCGCTCGGTGACGATTGACGTTCGTCAGCTGGCCATGTTGCCAATGTTTCCGGACAATTTATTTCTTCAATGGCAGGGCAGACGGGTAATCGGAGGTCCTGGCGCTTTGCACAACATGGCTGGATTCGAAAGTGCTCTGCCGCTGATGGGGCGGGCCACCTTCGACTTGATTTTGCCGGAGAATCTCGTTGGCATGTACATCGGCCTCCGCGACTGGTCGGATTGGCGTGCTCATACACAGGCGTACTACCGTATCGACAACATCTTCACGGACGAAGTAACAGTGTCTTTCGGCACCGGGGACAGCCCTCCTCAGCCTCATCCTGGCCGTGTTCTCGCATTCCGATCCAAGCAGTCCCATCGATTCTCTATACGGTGGGATGCCACGGTTTTTGAGTTGTTTGTGGACGGCGTCGGAATTTCAACTGTTCAACCTGCGCAACAAGGAGGTCCTGAGCTTCCAGATGCTTTGGCCAAGCTATTCGTTTGGACATTCGTTCGGCCAGTTGCAAACATTGTGCCAGCAATTCAGTATCGACCAATTCCCTCAGCTGTGTCGCGCAGTGCGAACATCATGTGCGCAATTTGCAGTCGCAGTCACACCCTGTTTCTGCCTCGATGGCACGTTTGCCCTTCCTGCTGCACGTGGGTGTGTTCCGGGCATGTGCGACAGAATCGGTGGCGCTTGTGTCCTCGCTGTCCGAATCGCCTGGAAGACTACGTCGGTGGTGCCTCCAACTTTCATGCCGGGCAGCTTTCAGAACAGAATTCGAATGGTGTCATGGATGATTGGGACTTATTTTGGGGTGGCAGTGTGTTGGACGAGACACTCTACAATCTGCCGACATTTTTTTTCTCCTTCGCGTACCTCAAGAGTCTTGCGTGCGCCTCCAAACGCATGCTGCATGCTGTTCGCGACCGACGGCGATGGCAGGACAAGGCAATTTGTCTGAACAGTGCAGAGTTTCACGACACTCAAACTTTGCGGTGGATGATGGAGGCATACATGTCGGCTCGCTCGGTGACGATTGACGTTCGTCAGCTGGTCATGTTGCCAATGTTTCCGAACAATTTGTTTCTTCAATGGCAGGGCAGATGGGTGATCGGAGGTCCTGGCGCTTTGCAAAACATGGCTGGATTTGAAAGTGTTCTGCCGCTCATGGGATGTGCCACCTTCGACTTGATTATGCCGGAGACTCTCTTTGGCATGCACATCGGCGTCCGCGACTGGTCGCATTGGCGTGCTCGCACACAGGTGTACTGCCGTATCGACGACGTCTTCACGGACGAAGTCAGAGTGTCTTTCGGCACCGGAGACAGCCCTCCTCAGCCTCATCCTGGTCGTGTTCTCGCATTACGACCACAGCAATCCCATCGTTTCTCTATTCGGTGGAATCCTACGGTTTTTGAGCTGTTTGTGGACGGTGTCGGAATTTCAAAGGTTCGACCTGCGCAACAAGGAGGTCCTGAACTGCCGGGTTCTTTGGCCAAGCTATTCGTTTGGACATTCGTTCGGCCAGTTGCAAACATCGTGCCAGCAATTCAATATCGACCAATTCCCTCGGCTGTCTCGCGCATCGCGAGCATCACCTGTGCAATTTGCAGTCGCGCTCACACCTTACTTCTGCCTCGATGGCACATGTGCCCTTTCTGCTGCACGTGCGTGTGTTCTGAACATGTGCGAGACACTCGGTGGCGCTTGTGCCCTAGCTGTCCCAATCGCCTGGAAGACTACGTCGGTGGTGCTTCCAATTTTGAGGTGCCGTACATCACGGCTCATGATTTCTGGAGTCGACTTGAAGAGCAGCATGAACAAAGTGACAAGTTTACCTGTGTTGTCTCGAAAATCCTGAGACAGAATGCAAACCTGGTGGACAAAATGCCTTTGGTGCTGCAGCTTCTTCCGGATCCGCAACAACGATCTGAGATGAGTAAGCGTGTCTGGGAGCGTACGCTGTTTCGGGCACGAGCTATGATGGGTCTTCTCGATCAGCGGCAGGATCTACTCCTTTTCAGGTTTCTGCACGCAGAAGGCGAGCATCTTTCCAGAAACAGCGCGAATCCCTTGGATGGTCTTCCGCATCCGAAGGATTTCGAAAGCTTCGAGGATGTATGGCGCTGCATGGCTTTGGAAAGTGGAGTGCAACTGCACCTGCAATTGGTCTCTCAACAGCAGCAGCGAAGCCACGAAGCTTCTCTTCGCAAACACTGGACAGAAGATCAAGGAGGAGCCCAGAACGTCCAATCCATGAGCCACGCGCAATGGTTTCGGTTGAGTTGCCACCGTGCAGAAGCTCTTCGTCGACGGCAAGAAGGCATGCGGCATGAATCCGCTTCTGCAGTTGCCGACAATGACCTGCTTTGGCAAAGAAGCTTTAGTCCGTTTTGCTGTCCGACATACGGACCTAGCACTTCTTTAATTCGATTGCCCGCCTTCAGCTTCCGAGACATCGAACTTCCGACCTTGGACGTCATTCCTGATGATTGGATGAACTTGCGGTGTCCGGAAGTGCAGTGCAAACTATTATCTAACGCCCATCAGCACACCAGAGACTCTCGCGTTTCCTTCCTTGCGAGCAGTCACACGTACTATGTTGATGGAGAAAAGATTCCTCTGTCTGTGACTGGCTTGGTTCATCTTTTCGTGGAGGATTTTGACGCCGACAAGGCGATTGCCATGATGAAGCAGTCTCGTCGTTGGCCAAGACCGGAGTATTCCGCCAGGGTGGAAGAACGATTGGAGCCTCTGAGCGATGAACTGATCAAGGAAATGTGGAAACACAATGGCGTGGAGGCTGCAAACCGAGGCACGTGGATGCACCTTCAGTTCGAAGTTTTGCTCAACGCCGGCTCTGTGGCTGGTACATGGCCTGAGATGCATCTATTCTCTCGCTTTTTGCGAGAATTTTCGCTGCCTCTTATCGCATTTCGCACAGAATGGTGCGTCTTTTCAGAGAAGGAGAGACTTGCCGGCTGTATTGATTTCGTGGCAAAGTCGTCGGACAACAGCCTCATTCTTTTTGATTGGAAAAGAACGAAGCAGCTTCATTCGAAGTACACCAACCCGTGGCAGTCCATGAGAGCTCCTCTGTCGCACATTCCTGACTGCGCCGGATGGCATTATAGAGTGCAACTGAATTTGTACAAACACATTCTCCAAGAGCACTATGACGTGCGCGTGTCGCAAATGTTTGTGGTTTGCTTCCATCCAGACAACACAAACCCTTTCATAGATCAGGTCCCTGACATGTCTGCAGAAGTGGTTGCGATGCTACAGGCTCGTCGCAGTGCGACAAACTGGCAGGATGCTTCCGGTGGTTCCTCGCAAGTTGGTGATGCTTTGTCTAATTCATCATTTGAGAGGCAGATTGATGAGGATATCGCTATGCAAGAAGAAGCCTTGCGTCAGCTGGATCAAGAGATGCCTGACGTATCAGGCGGGGAGCCAGGCGACGCTTTGCTTGTCCAAAGAGAATCGCAAGTGGGGGACGAAGCAGAAGAACAGTCTTTAGCTATTCAGGCGGCTGTTCCTCCTGCGGCGCTGGATAACGCAAAGAAGCGGCGACTGCTCCCTGGCGCATCCTCGACCTCAGCGGATTTCGATCACTTGTTTACCGTTGCCACTGAAGCTTGCGATGCATCCTTGGCCAATCGACCTGAGTTGCCTCATGATCTTAACTCTGGGTCGATCCAACTGCAGGCCAAGCGGCATTTGGACTTTGTGCGAAGGCGGCATCCAACTTGGGAGGAAGACTTGGTCCGACTGGCAGCCTCAGCTATCAATGTGTACAGAACTCGCCTGTCTGATATTTTCGTGCGAGATTTCGTGGGGCTGGTGTGGATTATGGAGGGAGAGCGCTACATTCGCGCGCACCAAGGCGTCTGTTACCTCTACCACATGGATGGTGCTTTCGAGGCTTACACAGGAATTCCTCCAGAATCGACTTTCTTCAGATTAAGAAAGTTTTTGTTGAAACTGGAAGGCCTGTTTCGGCATTTGTCGGCTGCCACACGCCGCACAGACGAAAGTGTCTTGCAGGAAGTCCACACTGTGTTGTCTCAGTTCAACAACATCGCAGAGATGCTTCACGCGTGCGAAGATGAAGCTTTGACTGCAGACTACACACGTCCTCGTCGAGGACGCGGAGGACAAGAGGGTGATGCCCCCTCCGGACGATCATGGCCGGACAAAGCAGCTGAAATGCTTAGCAAAATTATTGCGCCGCTGCAGAAGGATCTCCTGGAAGAAAGATTCTGGAGGTGAATTAACCTTACTGCATTGTGAGGCTTACCAGTGTGCTAATGTTTACCCAGGTTCTTTCTTTTGTTTGTTCTCTAACCTCAATCACCTTTAATGAATGTTTGTAACGCGTTGCAACAAGGACGGCTTCTCCAGTATGTGGCAGCGTGGTGCGACTCGCCCTCAGAGAGGCAACCTGGATGCGCGTATCAGGATTACACTGTTCTTTACGACGTCAGTCGCGAAGAGCACGTGAAGCTGGTGCCTCCTTCTCCACTCAACAACGTCTACGTGCGCATCGCGTTCCCTCTGAAAAGTTCCTTCAGCGATCCTGTGCTAAGCGATGCACGAACTCGAATGCAGAAATTCATCAAAGAAACTTTTTGGTGCAACCAGGAGTATTACAAATGCACTCTGGCAGGAATTGCGCTAGCAAAAAGAGGCGAAAATGTGGACCGCTGCTTCATCGGCGAGTCACCCGGTGGAACCGGCCAATCACTTTTCAGCGCCCACCTCGCGGCCGTTTACTCGCACAATCACGCTTACATTGATCCGAACTTATTCCACAATGAGGACGAGTTGCGGAAGCAGTTGGAGCAGTTTGCTCACTGCTGGATCATAACGGCGCAGGAGGCACCAGAAACCCACCGCCATTTTCAGCAGGACCTCTTCAAAAAGCTCATGTCAGCGGACGATCTAGCTGCAAGAAAGCCTTATGGCTTTGTAACGCGCATGCGCCGTGTCAGAGGATTGAAGCGTTTCGAGACCAACAAGATCATTACATTCAGAAATGTCATGGAGGCCAACTTTAATTCCATCTATCGGCGTTGCCTGGTTTGGCAGCCCTTGCCGATATTCGTGGATGACACCAACTTCGGCAAGGATTACGATGATCCAGATGCTGACGGCATTTTCAAGAAGGATCCTTCTTTGAGAGCTTGGTTAGAAAGCGGACCTGCCATCGCCGTGGCCTTAGAACTGCAGCACGGGTTTGAGACCCACTATTCCAGGGATGAGTGCTTTCACATGATCGAGAACTATGCCACGAGTGGCCTCACGGAAAAGAAGGTGCGCGAGGCTTGCGGACTGCCTCCGCCCGAGGACGTCAAGCAGTCATGCTGCTTAGTTTTCCGTTTTGTGTTTAAGTCCTTGCTTGGGTCCAAGTAGAATTGCACAGCTATGTAAAAATTAATTGACCGCTGCGTGCAGGATCGCGACGGAAACCCCATGCGCTCCGAGCTTGTGTGTCAGCTTGAGCAAAGAGAAGCCGCCCAGAAGGAAGATGAAATGAAACAAGCTGCCCTTCAACAGGATCCACTCCTGAAAAGCCTGCAGCGCACTGTGGCATTCTGTTTGGGCCTGGCCACATCCAAGCCAGATGGGGGCAGGAAGCGGCATCTGACCAAAGTTTGGTGGCAGCGATTTTCGGCCTCCAAAATAGGTGCTCCGAAAGAACAGTGGGCTGACCTGGAGAAGGCAGAGTATCTTCTTCCTGCTGACTCAAAGCCGGACACTGAGCACTTCATTCCATTTATACCCTGCGAAAACAACATTGAAGACGTTCTGCAGGTGCAGTGCCAGGAAGAGGCTACCAAAATCAATGAGTGTTTGAATGCTGCCAGACTGTGGGAAGTCGTTGAAAGGGATCCTAGCAGAAGCGCCAATGCCGAGCTTCTTAACGTCTTTTACACAACGGTCTTGGACAGGCTCAGAAGCGGAAAAGGCAAGAAAACTGTGCAGCAACAACACAGAATCAGCGAATGGCTGGGCTTCAAGACGAAACTGGAGAAGCACGAGGATTGCGCTCGACAGCTATTGGAGGCGCTTGAGAAAAAAGCCGCTGGGCAACTTTCTCAAGTCACTGACTTGCCCGAGCAATCTCCTGTAGGAGAAGTTCGCTCTCGGCGGCGACGAGTCAAGGGACCACAAGCATCCGGCAATTCTGAAGAGCCTTCCGCAGCGTCGAGAGCAAGCGTTGATGAGCAGAACCCTTTCCAAGGCAATGACGGCCTTATCGACATGGATGTTTACTACGTTTACAAATTCAATGGCATGCGCTCCCGGCGCTACGCCGAGGCTGCCTCTGTTCAAAATTTAGGCACTGCGTGGCAAGCTGAAGTGCTTCAACACACAGTGGACTTGGACATCGAGAACTGCTCGTTCACCTTGCTACTTCAGATGCTCGACAAGCTGAAGCCACAGGATCCTTCTTGGTCAGACGTCAGAGAGACTCTTCGGGAGTGCGTAGAATTCCGTACTTTCACCATTCAGAACAAATTGAAATTGAATGTGACTGCTGGCAAGCAACTTCTGCAGAAGGTATTCAATGGAGGTGCTCCGCCTGGTGATCTCACGAACAATGAGTTTATCATTCGATTACAACGAGCTTCGCTTTTTTGCCGATGGGTTGCTGCAAGCTGTTTGAAGGACATCGCCTGGGCCTCTATGCTTCAGTTCAAAGAAAAGCCGGATCTTTCCGTTCTAACGTATTTCTGGAACATTGCTGAAGACATGGTGCTGGAATCATGGCTCCGAAAAGCGAACCCGCTGCAGAGCAAACACACATCTTTGCACTTCGATGGAATCCGCCTGGATCGCGATGTTGTGCTGCCGGACACTCATGGCTTCTGCGACAGCTGCTCCGCATGGATTGAAAAAGACACTGGCTTCAAGGTAAAAATCCGTGCAAAGGAGCATCTCAATTTCCTGCAGCTCTTGCAGAAAGCCATTGCACCTCAAGAGGTTGCTTGTCCAGACAATCTTCAGAAAAATGGAAACTGCATTCTTGCGGCCTTGCATCATTTGGGCTATGGCGGGCAGGCTGCGACAATGGCGGAAGCTAGTGAAGGAACGGAACACGCTTTCTTCACAAGACGCCAACGTCGAACATATGAGCAGGTGAGCAAGTTTACACAACTTCCCATCTTTCCTCGCATGCCGTGCACAGAGTTTGTCGCGGGCCAAAAGTTCCTGCTGCACTTGGCTACGGCTGGCCAGCCACATTGTTTGGCCGCCCAGGCGCTGTCGTTGGAGCAAGTTCAGCTGACGAATGTGACTGCCACCTACAAGTTTTCAATGGCAGACTTTTCCAGAATGCTAACAGAGGCAACTGATCGCAAGTACATTCTGTTCTTCTACGTGGAACAAAAGCCAGACACTGTGGTATTGGACGCGAATGAAGCTGAGTACGAACTTCTCCTGGAGACCCAAGCAGGAGCCAACCACGAGGACGATGGCGAGGATAATTTCGCTGAAGATTTTGTTAGAGACGTGGAGACGCAGGAGGACGCAGAAGATGATGAACCGGAAGACGGTCTTCAGTGCGAAGATGAAAGCGTCACGCATGTCGGTGATGAGCTGCTGGTGCACCTGAAGCAGGAGGTGCAAGTCTTCTTGACAGGCGGTCGCAGACGAAAGGGCCGTAGTGCGGACACAGCTCGCTGTCCTTTCTGTCCTTTTCGCGCATGGCCGAAAATCAAACGAGGCCGTGTGCTCCACCATGTTCAAACTTATCATTGTCTGGCGAAACAATACGTGGCCAGTGGTACGAAGCAACTGAAGCTCATCATCGCCTTGCATGATTTCGACCAGATCGTGTCTGCTCCGAAAGGCAATTATCTGTATCGCAGCAGTCGTCTTCTGAGGCAAACTGTTTCTCCGGCTTTGTCTCGAAAGCAGGTTCTGATTGATCGATTCCTGCGATTAGTCTTTACCGAAGAAGGTCCTCAATTCTGGAGTGTGGATGCGGTCAGTGACAATTCCTTGCGAAGAGTACGAAACCTCTACTACACGCGGGAATTTGGACAGATTGTCTTTCAGGAAATGCTCTTGTGCAAGGCCAAGGTATCTTGCTGAATTCAGTATATCTTCTAGGGTCTTTTGCGTAAACACATTTTCATGTGCTACTGAGCATTATTGTTTCCGGTGTTGCTTGTTTCAAGCAGGTATATGCTTTCCACGCTCGCATGATGACACTTTTTCCGGGCGATGTATGCAGCCTCCTGCCAAGACATTCAAGACACTGGTGGCCTATCGTGGAAGACATATTTCTTTCGCCGCGCGTTCAGGAACTTCGGTCACAGTTATTCCAGCAAATGCTTCAGCACGAAGAATTCGAAGCAATCAGCATGGACACAACTTTACGCTGCTGTTTGCCCATCTTGGGACAGGCGCATCCTCGCGCAAGTGCTGAAGCGAAGCAATCAGCCGTTTTTCGCGGAGAGGAAGCCATGACTCGCGCCACTTGATATTTGAATTGATCATTGTAACGTCGATTGTTTTGGTTAAGATATCAAACAACCTATGCAAAAGCGTTCCGCAAAGAATGCGATCTTTATTTGATGCGTCTTATACGCTTGATCAGGTTCTCACTTGTCGTGGACGCACAAATGCAGTGGTGCTGCTACAACCTGGCTCGTCAGACGACACCGAGGTTTTAGTGAGGATGCTGGCAGATTCTCTTCCGGCTCAAGGACTTTGCCAGATCAAGTACCTTTCCGTGGACAACCCGTCGGCAAAGCTGTATAAGGAGGCAAAGCATGTGTGTCCGAACTTGCAGGTGGTGGCGTTGGACCCAACACACCTGGCAATGACCTGTGAGTATGCCTCAAGCAGGAAACGTACTGCTGCGACACGTTATTTGCGCATCATTCTGCGCAAACTTACAGCGCGCAGTGAGTTATCGGCTGGTACTTGGGGACCCATTTTTTGCGGAGAGAACGCAACTCCCTTTACACGAGAAGAACAAAGGGTCCGTGCTCAGTTGGAGGATCGGAGCATGCGCAAGGCTGAGGCTGAACGAATTCTCGCGAATCTGGATGCAACGAAGCCTTTTCTTCTTCGCTTGGAATGGATTCAAGCACTTGCGGCCTTGACTTCTATTTATCGCAGCGAGGTCGAACGACTCGCTCCGGGCCCCAATCGCAAGATATATCAGCTTCTTCACACTGCCACGGCTGCCAACAGAACGGAATGGTATTTTAATAACCTACGTCTGCGCCACATGATTTCGTCCGAGAGGTTGTCCCTCTTGCCTATCGGCACGGCCAGTAATGAGGCCTTGCACCATGAGGTGAACAACTGGTTCCGCGAAACTCAGAAGTTGCATAAAGCAACGTTGTCTCTGAAGCTCAGCATTATGCAGCTTGGCAAGCTCCTGACTCACAACAATGCGCTCTACAAGCCTACAACACGGCAAATGCCGGAAGCCGAATTGCTGGCCCGACTAACGTCCAAAGATTTGTTTCGTGCCACTGAGTGGGAGGAGTGGTGTTCGGAACTCGTAGATGGAAGCATCAAAGGCAAAGCAGAACTGCAATTGCACCATGAGCGCGAGATCGAGCGGAAGAAGGTCAACCCAAGATCATTCAAAAGGCCGGCTGCTGCTGAGGACTCCTCACTCTTGAGACGGAGAACACCAAACACTCTACTGCGGCAAGATAGCCTGCGCAGAGCTGGCGTCAGGCCACGAAAACTCTAAGTGTGTTGTTCCGGCAAGGACAGTCATTTGTACAGGCCATTGCTCTTTCATGTTTCTTTCGCCGAAAGCTGATCCTACTAAGGCATTATTGCCTTGATTAAAATCGTTCGGCTTTCGCTAAGAATCAGCAAGAGACTGTGCAAATCATCTCATTGTCTTTTTCTACTGAAGATCAACAGCATACTCAGTGTTTGTTGTCTAACTTCACCTGCAGAACGCCGATCCTATTTAGGCTTTATTGCTTCAGTGAGAGCGCTAAGCCGCTTGGCGTCCTCGCGACAAAAGAAACAGAGCGATGAAAGTGATGATTAAGTGGCACGTTCATGGTGTGGTTCATGCTGGCCGTGTACAACAGCTTTTCAATTTCAGACAGCCCAACACACCTACAATGTTTTTATTCATATGGAAAAATTAAAAGAATGCTCCAGGAAAAAGAACAATCAGATCAACAACGAATAAAAAATCAATCAAAAGGTTGCCAAGAAGCATCGCTCAGTGCTTTTTTAGTGTTGTTGACGAGCGTTGGCTAAAGTTTGTTTTTTTCATGATTTGTTTCTGATTATCTAGGATTCCGTAAAATCCGAGTTGCTGTTTCTTATTTCCAGTTATTTTCTTGCGTTATTCTTCAAATGTTCAAGAAAACCACTTAGCGAGTATATTTCTGGCCGGAAAACAAACATGTTGTTAGTAGGGACGGTCAGGATAGCTTATTTTCTTACACTGTGCTTCTACGACAACGTTTTTCTACGTGGCTGTGAACCGCGTAATTGTATCCCCGATCGCATAATTTTACTCGACCACACATGCGAAGCAAAATTACTGCTCATTTGTCGCAGCGCCTCAATTTTACCCGACAGTTTTTCTGGAAATCATTTTTGCAGCGACAAAGTCTTACCCGACACTGTGTGAGAATGCTTGGTTTTACCGGACGCACCGCTCGAAAAATATAGCAAGTAAATCAACCCCAAAAAAGCGTGAGCAAAATCGAGCATGCGTGAGTAAGAGTTGGTCCTGGCAGTCAGGAAGAGGTGAGTTCAACTTGAGCCACGCAGATTTGCCCGTGAGAAAACCGTGAGAATTCGTGAGTTGATGCTGTGGGGGAGTCTAGAACACCATAATACGGACCATGCCGAATTCAAGTGATTCGGGCTCTGGTCCTGACACCGGTGTAGGGTGTCATTATGGGTTGTTCAGGCCGATTCGGTTTGAAACATGATGGACCCCGTTCTAGTTCTTCTTCGGAATCAATTGTCGCACCACATGAATAAAGCAGGTCTTTATGGAAGCGCTATCCTTTATTTTCAGTGGTTGGAAGCGTAAGGATATGATATACATTTCTGAATAAGACAGTAGACCTCCAATGTCGAATACAAATGGCCGACAAATTCGCCAAAGAATCGCAGCGTTTTGGGTGTTTCTTAGAGATTTTATTTCCGATATAGTTCGATGTTATGTTCTTGCGCTGTTCCATTGGCATCTGATTGCGTTCATTTTTTTAAGAGATTTTTTCTGGATTCTTTAGCGACAAAAATCGCTGAGAGTCGGTCCGCGTGTTGGCAGCTGTTTCCGATGCTTTTCTATGTTTTAGTTTGGATTCGTGTTGCGATTTTGTTTCCGGTTTTTAATTTATCATTTTTTCTACACATTTGGGTTAAAACGTGTCAGGCAGATAGAGCAGAGCTTTTAGGAACTTCCCAAGAATCTGTGAAACCCTTTGGTTTTGTTTAGAAAGCTAGTCGTTTCTGCGTTTCTTTTTGAGATCCTTCTTGACGGTGTCGTGAAGTTAGGGATCCCCTTTAGAAGGGTTTGGGTTAGAAAGTTCCCCCTTAGTATAGTAAGACCACGGAACCCTTCTACAGAAAGCCTAGGGCAGCTTGACACCCTGCCGATTGGATTATAGGCTCAGGGTGTACTGTAGGGCGCGTGCCTCGCGGCTGACATGTCGCGTCCTGCCGGGCGCCCATCCGATCGTATGAAGGGCATGAATTTGACGATTCGCGAATGTTCGCGGTATCCGGACCTGAGGTTCTTCCCTCGCCCGCCTTGCATGGCTCGTCGCACGTGCCTGCAGCTTTCAGAGCAAGGGACTGAGACAAACATCGTATCATTGCAATCAGGGTTTAGGGTATAGGGTTTAGGGTTGAAAAGAACACACAGGCGCGGCCTGCGCCTGGCTCCAAACTTGCCGGGGAGCCGAGAGACCAACCCTAAACCCTAAACCCTAAACGGCCTGCGCCTGGCTCCGAACTTGCCGGGGAGCCGAGAGACCAACCCTAAACCCTAAACCCTAAACCCTAAACCCTGAACCCTGAACCCTGAACCCTGAACCCTGAACCCTGAACACAACCCTGAACCTTGAACCCTGAATTCTGAACCCTAAGATTGGGTCTCGTAAAGGAATCTCAAGAGTTCCAACCCCCCCCCCAAGTTCCAAGCTTGAAAACCCTTCGAAAGGCCCCAGCCCTGGCGCCCTCAAGTCCCACTTCTGAGGGTTGAGGGTTTAGGGTTTAGGGTATAGGGTTTAGGGTTTAGGGCTAGGGTTTCGGATTTAGGGTTTCGGCGTTTAGAGTTTAGGGTCGGGGGCTGAGAGCCGAAATCAGAAGCCAGAAACTTGGAGACCAAGTGGTTCCCTGATGCCCTTGCAGAGTCGGAGTTTCATCGTGAATCTCCTGCCTCTTATCGCACGGTTACCCTAAACCCTAAACCCTAAACCCTAAACCCTAAACCCTAAAACAGGACAGAGAGAAGCAGATCGCCTTGAACATGGAGATCGCTGAAAGATGGGCAAAGAAGCTTCCAGAGGCCTGGGACTTGCTACAGAGCGCTAGTCAAGATGTGGCAAAACCCTGGGTGTATTTCTCTCCCCCTCCCACCCAAAAAAAACAAGACAGCAACCCTGAGCAGGTGGAGTATCCAACACTGCAGGCCGGATGGCGTCCGCCTGTGTCTTTGAGCTTCTAAGTTAGGAGGGTCAGTGGGAGAGGCTCGGCGTGTTATTTTCAGCGTTTCTTTCTTTCTTGACGTTTGTCGTCAGTGTGTTGTTTAAGTGCCCTTTGTCGGTGGTCATGCGCATGGGCTTGGGGTTTGTGAACTTCCGAATCACCGCTCCAAACGCCCGAAAAACCTCAAGCCACCATGTGAATAGGGGCCGGCGGCCCTCTTGAAGGAGGCCTTAAAGATAGCACCCAGTATTGGGTCAGGTAGGGGGTGGCAGGTTTAGGGGTTAGGGTCTAGGGTGTAGGGTTTGGGGAGCAGGGTTCAGAGTGCATAAACCCTAACCCCTAAGCCCTAAACCACGCCCCTTTGGCTTCGGAGGCCACTTTCAAAAAGCTGGCCGCAGGCAACGTTTCGCAAGGACCGCGCTTCTTGCGCGAGGGTGTTTTCAGGTTTTGGAGCGCTTAGCTTATGGTTTATAGGGTTTAGGGCTTAGGGTTTAGGGTTTAGTGTTTAGGGCTTAGGGTTTAAGGTTTAAGGTTTAGGGTTTAGGATTAGAGTTTAGGGTTCAGGTTTCAGGATCCTCGGGGGGCTACTGCGTCCTGGGACTTCAGTTCAATCTGCTCCTTGGGGCCGAACCCATGTTTAATGCTTTCATTATACAAGGCATAAGCTCTAAACCCTAAATCCTAAACCCATAAGGCCCTAAATTAAAAGGTTAGAATCGTGAGCCCTTGAAAACGGTCCCTCACCTTTGTCTTAAAGGATTTAAAGACTTCGGACGGGCCCCTTTGTGTTTATAAGGGTTTTATGACACGGGGCCCAAATTAAGGGCTCCGGAGTATGCCCCTAGAAATCCACCCTAAGCCCTAAGCTACTCCCAGCCCGGACCTGAACTCTGCGAGCTCACCCAAAATGCCGTCCCTCAACCCTCAACCCGTAAAGCCTAAACCCTAAGCCTCTGATAAACACCAAGCGGGCACTTTTCTCCCATAAAATTTGGCGCGCGAGGAAGCAAGACAGCACCAGCTAAGGCAGTGCTCCGGTGTGGTGTATGTAGGGTTTCGGACAGGGTGTACGGCTTAGGTTTAGGGTTTAAGGTTTAGGGCTTAGGGCTTGAGGCTTAGTCAGGACTCTTTGGGTTCGGGATTAGGTGTGGCTTTGGGGCGTAAGCTTTCAGACGCCCTCTGGGGAGCTTTGGGTCTTCGGCTTTGTCCACTAGTTAAGTCTGATTTCCGCCTATTTTGATTCAAATATCCTCGATCATAGTCAGGAGCTATGCTGCCTGACATGACATAGCCCCATGTGTAGGGATTGGATATTTGGGTTTAGGGTTTAAGGCTGAGGGTAGCGGATTAGCTTGAAGCCCCAGACCTTAAACTAAGGCCTTGGAAATCCTTTCTCCGGTCAAGTGTTTTGCTCTCCTTATAGCTAGCAAGCAGGGGTTGGAGGGGTTGACTTTAGGGCCATTTATGCGCAGGGTTGTTTGTTTAGGGCATACGCTTTCACCCTTAAAACCCTCAACCGCCCACCCTAAACCTCTAAACCCGACTCTTGCACCCTAAATCCCCAAGACTCTAAACCCTAAACCCCCCCAACATCCACAGCTTGAGGGCCTTTTCAGAAAGAAGTCGGTGTACAGGCGCTTTCAAGGTTTTCGTGTAGAGATGAGAGGCTCTGTTTGTTTAATATTGGGTATTGGGGGTTGGGGCACTCAGGCTTCACCACCTTTAAAGCACTTCTGCCCTCAGCATTCACCCTACATCGACTAAACCCTAAACCTTAAAACCCTAAACCCTAAGCCCTAAGTTCTAAGCCTTAAGTCTAAGCCCTAAACCCTAAACCCTGAACCCTAAACCTTGAAGAGAGGGATCTGTGCCCTGCGGGGCGGCTTACCGTTGAAGATGCTTCTGGCTTGTGTCGAGGGTCCTTGGCAGCGCCAATCTCGAGGGAACTATTTTGTGAAGTCCGAAATGGTTTTGAAAACGTAGCACTTGAACACCGCTGTGCCCTCGTCATTGGGCAAACCCCCAAAAGCCTGTTGTCGAAGTTCCACGTATGCGTTT